TAATGAGATGGCCTTCCTGTTTAATTTCTGGAATCCGTCTTCTTCCAAATATCGCCGCTGTTACCCCCTCTCTCCCATGGACTGCGCTTTCACCTCTCTAGTTCCACCTCCCTTGCAGTTTACGAATTTCGAGGGATCTTCCGGGATTGGTAGGTTTTTTTTTGTTGCGCATATGTAATGCGCTATGTGGAGATTCGGACGCATATCTTTCACTAATGCAGAAGCGTCCCAACTGGGATCTCCGTTCGAAATATAGAATAATTTTTTGGTCGGACACAGATGGGTGTTTAGAACTAAGTAGCCGATTACATGCGTAATATTCTGTAACAGAACAAAGAAAATCGACACTAAACAGGGTTAGATGTAATTTATAAAAATCGAAAAATATCATAGCCCTCTGGTGAAATTACCCGTGTCACGTAATTGCTGAAGCATTGTGTACCATATATCCATAACAATAACAGTGACCATGTGGCTATGAACGCACTTGTTGAGATGTTACAGGCTGATTCCAAATGCACTGCTTTTGTGCTCATGCAGACGAAAACACAAACATAGACAGGCATAACCCGAGCAAAATGAACTTTGACATTGAAAAAACCGCAATAATCCAGACCGGTTTTATAGAAAAGTGGACTAGGCTGTACTCTGAATGATGGTAACGGTGCCATTTGTGGAAATCGATTTGTAGGATTGGCCCTGAAACACACCACACAACCGTCCACGATTGATTTGATTAGATTTCGCAGACCCAAAATCCAAAAGCGTTGCACGATCAATGAAAATATAAGTTGAGGAGGTGCGTGAAGATTGTCAATGTGGTATTGCTAAACCAATAATCTCACCACATGATGGTTAGAAGACAGGATGATCGGGTACCTCGATGACTCTAGTAATGAAGCATGTTCTAATCTCCCTCCGGCTCGAAGTAAACCTCTGTGATCCAAATAAGGATTTAATTTTTTAATCGCTTTGGATTTTGCAGACAACTTTTCTCCGGTCCGAACTTTGCGAATTTCTGAACTTAGAGTGTCCCTTTGGATTAACTTGAGCAGCAGGAATTCTGCGTGCTCTATTTCTGACAGAGATAAAAACCCTTTTTTGATGGGCTCGAGGTGTTTTGACAGAACCCAGCCGTTTTGAAAACGCCTTCAATTATGGCGTGATACCTCACGCGTTCCGGAGAGTACGAATAGTTGTATCCTTGCGCCTGTCGCTGTTGTGCAAGTAAAGGAAACGAACGTTTGTTTTGGGCTGACATTACGATCAATTTGTCAGTAGACAGACTACTTACTTTTCGTCGTCAGCTTCTCAATGAACTTCTCAAGAGTTTTCTCACCAACACCACGTTAACTATTAATGAAAAGTTAAAAATTTCCAATAGCGAACCCAGCCGTTTTGAAAACGCCTTCAATTGTGGCGCGATACTTCACGCGTTCCGGAGAGTACGAATAGTTGTATCGTTGCGCCGCACCTTTGAAGATTTTAATACTCACGTAAAGCGTTGTCTCATGCAAACTCCATACACATCGTTTCTTTTAGTATAAATACATCCTATTAAACCTTGATACGCTAATTTGTAACCACGGTGTTGCCACGGATGAGGAAAATCTCATCAGACCGAAAAAACCTCTTATATAAATATAGAATTTTGACTTAGATTCGGCTTGTATTTCGACAAATTTTGACCTAACATTTTACTGTCTGCTAATTTAGAATTTCTCAACAGTTTTTCTCGTTTTTTGTTTTGATTTTTTGGACAATTGTTGCTACGAATGAGGAAAACCCAGAGAAACATTATCAGACCGAAAAAAAATACCACGTATAACTTTAGAATTTTTACTTAGATTCGACTTGAATTTTGATCCAATTTTGCCCTTAAATTTTACTGTCTGCTAATTGAGGATTTTCTCAGAGGTTTTTTCTTCTTCTTCTTTCTCCTTTTTTTGATCCCTATTTCTCCAGACTTCCGGCGTGAAACTCCCGGAAAATCCAATCTCAAAACTCGTCCCGATCAAAATCCGCCGATCGGCAACGGTGGTTCCTTGGGTCCGGAGTCGGGAGTAATTCGGACGGATTATTGACTGAATTTCGGCACTTGGGACTCCGGGGGCTATGCTGGGAGGGGGGGGGCAGGGTGACGAATAATTAATGAAGGGCTAAGCCCTGCTGTTATCGCCCATTACGGCGAGCCCGGCCGCAAACGCTTCGGCCCTCGCCCGTGACACCACGGCCCCATCACCGCTCGTCGACAACTCCCGGATGCCCGGAGACCGTTCCAACTTCCGGCCTCCTATCGGATTCCGCGCCTCGTGCTCAACCGGCCTACGATTGGGTCGGAGAGAAGATGGTAGATCCAGGGTGTCCGGAAAGTCTGGATTTAGTACTGATTTTTTGAGGGAGGTCTGGAAGTACTGAAAAAGTGCGGCAATTCCGCAAAAGGCCCGGAACTTTTTTCATTTGTGTCTCAATTTGAGCGAGAAATTCAAATATTTGAAATTTTTCGAATTTCGTCAAATGGAGGCACTGAATAAGTACTGTAAAAGTACTGATTTCTGGCCCGCCTGTGTCAGTAGACACCCTGTAGATCTGGCCATGCTGATAGAATCAATTGAATCGAGTTTATCAGAAAGGACCCAACCCAAATTTTCGAAAAAATTGAGTTAAGAATGTTTTTGAATTTCACTAGCCGTTTATTTTCTCCTGCCAAAAACGGAAAGTCTCAAGACGAAACATTTTTTGTGGAAAGAGATTAGAAGTTTACTTTTTACCAAGCATTTTCTCACCAAGAATAGTAGTAGTAGTAGTGGTAAAATAATTTTATTTTAAAGCGGTGCTTTAGCATCTAAGGCCATTTACACCTCTAAAGAGGGCAGTAACAGTAATAAATTTACATGGAAATATCACTAAAAATACAAAGGGTTGAGAGAAAAGGTTAAATTTTGAGATTAGTGGAGCGCATAAATTCAAAAAGTTTCACAGGATGAGTATTCAGAAGTAAATTTTTAAGAGAGGGTAAGGGGTAGGGAAAAAAACGTTTTCGGATATCTTTATAAAGTGGGCAACTTATAAGAACGTGATCTACCGTTAAGGGGAATTTGGACAAGAAGTGCAAGCAGGACGGTTTGATTGAGGCTAGGCAGAAAACAAGAATGAAGGAAAAGTGACAGAAATGAACCTTTGAAATGAAGTCTTGGGAGAACCAATCATACTGAAAGTAACATTTAATAATAATACAGAATGAAGAATATTGGGTTTCAGGAACCTTAAAGAAACCACAGGGGAGGAAATACTCACTATTGGGATGGAATAAAACTTTTCTTTTTTTACAAGAGGATTACAAGAGACCACAAAGCGAAAAACAAACTTTCTTCAGCAACAACTTTAGTATAACAATTTTTAACTCCTAAACTCCTCCCTCTTCAAGGCTCCATCAGCTGATGCCGATCGGGGCTTGGACATCCAGCCCGCCTGAACCCCCTTAGGGGTTCAAACCAAGACAGACGTCCACCTCCTACCAGGCACCATCCTGAAGAGCCCAGAAAGGGAGGATATTAGAACCGAACCAGGGGGAGCAACCTAACTTATGTCTAAGATGGCTCCTCATCCTGGGTTCAGTCGTGCTACAGCCCGTAAATGTTCAGGCAAAGCTAACTTAATTGCTTGGATCCTCTCCGATAGATCAACGACGGACAGCGCCTCCAAGCTATTATTTCTCACGGCTTCTCCATGCCTTTCGTGTTCCTCACAGAAGAGAACAGTATATTCTTATTTTGTGAGATGACACAATTGAAGTAATAATAATTAAACAAATGCAGGAAGCAAACCGGGTTGTAGAAAAGCAGAGACAAAATCAAAAAAGGTATTGAGGCAAGAGAGAGAAATAGCAATCATGGAAATTACGCACGAATAAAACTTAAAACCTCTTTTTCTCAGTTTGAACTTTTTGTGGATTGGTTATTTTCTGATGAACTCGGTCCAATAAAAGCTACGTAGACAGGAAGTCTACAACAAAAATGTTCAGAAGCAGAAAGTCGGCAACAAAAATGTTCACAAGCAAAAAGTCTCCATTTCTTGGTCTACATTTAAAATGTCTGGAACTGAAAAGTTCTTCACCAAAATGTCTACATTATTATGTTTTCTACAAGCTAAGTTCAAGTCTGACTGGAATAGGTAGTGTGAAGGTAGGCGAAAGTGATAGTCTAAAGTTCTATGAATCAAACTTGGTTTTCTTTTGTTGGAGGTCATGGTGGACGTTTCCATTCTTGTTATTCATAAAAATTAAATTTTTAATTTTTATTTCCAAATCATGCAACAAAAATTTGGGTTGGATGTATTCAATCAAAACAATTTTAAGGGTTTTGTCGCAACTTTTCTCAGATTTTCAGGCAATCGATAGCAAATTTGTCTTCATGTACCTGTACCATCGGATTTATTTGCTAATGATTACGAAACATGTGAATAACACTATCCGTCTTTAATTTATTTTTTATATACAAATGGCAAAAGCGTAAATGGTAATTATAATATCGTAATCTTACGATTAATCCGGCAACACCGCCACGCTCACTCGACGGAATCCCATTGCCTGGAAGAACGAACCCCGGCCGCACAGTGGATCGAGTCACTCGAAGAGGTTGGACATTACATTTTTGATTGAAACTGCAAATTTTGATGTTAAATTCGTCATATTTTAAATCTTTAGGGGCATTTCTGGAAGAAAATTTTACGAGGAAACCATTAAAGCCACCCTCAAAATCTCAAAGTTTCGTATAAATGGAGTTTAAGCTTTTAAAGTTTCCAAATCTTGTCCGAGCTCCCCCATCGGCTCGATCCAGTGTGCGGCGCGGCGCAAGACGACTGCCGGGCAAAAAACCGGAGGACTCCGGACTCCCCTTAAATCCTCACCGGTGGCGGTGTAAAAATTTTAGTTTTAAGTGTGGATAATTTATTCAGCCGGGCGAAACGGTGAATTTATAATGATTATTTATGGGTTTCAGCGCCGCCGAGCCAGGGACCGGAGCTGAAGGTGGAGCGACCCCGCTACAACCGAGGCGAGACGCTCAGGGCTAATTGCACCGCCCATCCCTCAAATCCAGCGGCTAATGTAACCTGGTCGCTCAATGGAGTTCCGGTAACAATTTATTTACTTTCATTTCTCACCCCTTAAATGCACTCATTTAACCCCCCCCCCTTTTCCCCCGNGGGGGGGGGGGGGGTCTCGGCGGACGCGGCGGCACGGCACGGGGACAGCTCTTTCAGACGTTCCCGTTTCAGAGATGAGGATTTTAATTTCGTCCGCTTTTATGATCGATGTCGCCGCCAGCCAAGGAAAGAACTTCTGCGAGAGGGAAAGTTTTTTTTTTCAGTTCGTCGCGTAACTCTATTTGCTTCCGCCCTGCGCTCGGGTGAACCAGGGTTCTCGGTCTGCATTTTCTTCTTTTTTTTTTCGCTTCCCAATTATATCCGAGAGTTAAATCTGATTCTACACGGTAAGGAAGTGATGGTGGGTACTGGACGATAGTCTGGTAAAACTGGGATCGGTCATCGATGATGGTAAAATATCATGTGCGCGTCCAAAGCAAAGGCGTATTACAGAAAGTCTACAAATCAGCCGTTCAAATTATTTGCCGTCTTATATTTTCATTTTGATACAGAAATTGCTCATTGTGAAACAGATTCGATTCACACATCGGCTATTGCCAAATTTAATTGGGCAGTTTAATTTTTTTACATGGAAACGGTTGTGCGGATTTTTGTGCAAATTTCAGTGAATTTTCTGCGTAGTACGCACTGGTAAAAAAATCTCTTGTACCAATGTCGCGGTGCATTGACTTAAGACTGCAGTTTCTTCTCGCCGGATTGAAGAGTCTTGAACTCTTGTTTCAAGCGGATTTTGCATTGAAATAAGAGTCCAGACGCTTAATTCCGGCGACAAGAAACTGCACTCTTGAGCCAAGAGGTTTTTTTTTTTACCAGTGCGAGGCAAATTCCTTCAAATTTTCACAGGAGCCCGCTCAAACGTTCTCTTGAAAACAATGAAATTGCCGGGTTGAATTAGGCAACTTAAAACGGGACGAAGGCCGCAATTAATAAAAAGAAACACATAAAATAACAACGGTGAGGCTCATAGTGTCTTTCGTTTAATTTTCTTGTTTTGCCAGTTGATAATGCGGATGCGATCCCTGCGAAACGTCCCGGGCTTTTTATCTTATTTTATGTGTTTCTTTTTATTATTTGCGGCCTTAGTCCCGTTTAAGTTGTTTCTTTGTTAGTTTTTCGGGCCGATTAAGTTTGTTCCTTTTTGCTAAACGCGGTCCAAATACGATGGATTTGCATAGTCGCCCCGAATCTGGGGGAAAATAATTACCGGACAGGCGAAACGTTTTTCAGAAATCGCCGGGATGGCCGACAGCTGTCGCTTGACGGGCGTCGTGCGTGTCGCGCTTCAGTAATCGAAAAAGTGATTGACGCCCGCGACGCGTCCACCTGCCACGTTGCCAGATTTAAAAAAATTATCCCTTCACTGGAAAAAAAAACCACATTGGATCCAGAGCCCAGACTCTTAGGAACATCGACAAGAAAAAATACTCTTGATTCAATCAGATTTAAGCTTCAATCAAGAACCAAGCCTCTTCATTTGAGCGGATTTCCTTTTGATACAAGCTTAAATCTGATTGAATCAAGAGTCCTTCTTCATGTCAATGTTTTCAAGAGTCTGGACTCCAGATCCAATGTGGTTTTTTTCCCCAATGTTCGTCTCCCGTTTTTTTTGGAGTACTTTGAGACGAGGCTGCCAGGGTGGCTCCGTAAATCGCGAGCAAGAGACAAATCAGATCAGCACAGACCCGAACACGCACAATAACCGGTGACAGGTGAAAATGTCCATCCTTAAATTTCCACCCATGAAAATGTCTCATAAAAAATATCTCCTGTCGTAATGTCCCCTTTTAAATGTCCATTACGTAAAATGTCCACTTAACAAAAATACCCATGTCGTCTAACGTCCATAACGCCGCCATGTAACTGAAAATGCCCAAACAGGGTGTCCAGTATCAGGATTTTCTCGATTTTCCCGATTCTATCAGGATTTGAGGTCAATCAGCCCGATTTCATCAGGATTTAAGGAAACATCGGTCGTAAAATCAGGATTTGAAGTTAAAGTTTCTCCGCCAAAAATGAGGATTTGGAAAAATTATGAAATCAATATTTTGCAGTCAAAAATCAGGATTTCATCAGTACCTCCCCAAATGGAAAGAAAACTAGACATAGAAAGCAAATAACTTTACTTCTTATCATTGACACAACTAGGGGTTTTCCTCCTCATTAGCACGTTCTTCTGCAGATCTTGCAGATCTGCCAATGCTCTCAAGTACATGTCAATGTTGTCGTCTTTTTATAAGTTTCTTAAAATTTTGAACGATGTTTTTCGAACCGAACTGGCGAACTGATGCCAGGACCGGACTCTCTTTGCCTTCCTTATCATTGGCCTTTTTCCACCCTTCACCGCCATTTCCACCAGTGCTTGGCGCAAGGTAACGATAACATTCAGTCAACCCATCAATATTATTCAACGACTATCCGCTTATGTTAGAATAATAATATTCTCCTAGCTGATTTCTTCGGTGCATTGCGAATGTATTACCTTGCAATGAACAGTCAGGAACCTCTCGTTAGACGAGGCATGAACGATGTACTGGATTCGGGAAAAATATTATTTTGAACCTTAGAGAGACATTGAAGGAAGAAATTCACAAGCAGAAGCTCTGAATAAAAATGCGCATGGACTCTTTTGAATCCTTTTGACGGATGTTTTGTTTGACTCCGGTTCGAAGCGCTTTCTCGCACATTGAAAGAAGCGTTCACATCAAGAGGGATAAAATCACTTTTGATAGAGGGTGACTTGAACGCACGGAGGCCGACGGAGGGGTATTCAAAGCTTTCGACGATTCAGTTTTATGTCAATATTTCAGACTCAATTATTCTAATGGGAGCGAAAATATTTATTTGCTTCACAGATGAAGTCGTAATTGTAGCGATGTCCCTCTTCCTGTATACTTTCGTCTTCTTCATTTTATGTATTTATTGAATTATTGAAAAAATATTTAAGAAGGAAAAAACATAGGAAGGTGAAATTAGCTTTTTGAGTAGGATGCAATTTAGTGATGCTTGAAATGTTTGAATCACACGGAACGCTCAGAGAAAACGGAGACAGAGTCAACTAGTTGGGTGCTAAAGCAAATGCTAATATTCGTAAGAGTGATATAGGAAAAATAAATTCAAACTGAAAAATATATATACCTATCTAGAAAAATAAAGAAATCCTATTACATATCATTCATCCTTCTTAATTATTTTTAATCTTTGGCCGACGATAACGTGGAACTCTGCGTTGGTCAAGGAGTCCTTTACATTTTTCACAAATTTATCTTGTACAACTCGGAAAATTTCAAAGCCTACCGCGGCACAAACTCCTCTCGAATACTCACGCGTTTCTTTCTTGATGGAATATTTTCATCTACGCCTCTAAGTGGAGCGGGTTCCCGGAGGATGCAGGTCAGTTGAGGGAGCTATACTGCCGTGCCGAGGAAGAACACCGTATGTGCCTCAAGACGTTGCCAAGTTTCCTTTGATCAAACACGAATTCTGCGGGCAATTTGTGAATATATTGCCTCAAATCACCCACAAAATTCAATTTGCCATCAGATCTGAACCATCTGAAAATTTCAAGAGCTAATATTCATAACTCTCCTCCAAAATAATCATTTTATCGGAGGAAATTTGAAAACTCACGTTTGTTCCTACGGCGCGGCGTTCTTCTTCAGCACGGCAGTAAAGGGCGGCGTTCTTTTATTTGGCGTCCCTGCCAAGCCAATTTGCATCGGGTATCGAGCGAGCCTTTCTCGTTTTAAATCGCATTGGGTTTCCTCCTGGAGCCCTGCATCTCTGCGGCGCACGCTGATGCAATTTATCGGCCTCTCGGAACTGCGGAGATAATCAGCGAATTATGCTCGATTTTCTTTGTGGCGGAATTTTAGGAGGCAATGGGATTAATCGTCGAGCGGAATTTACTCCGAGGATGCCTCAACGCTATTGTCAAGTAGTGCCCAAGGAGAATTCAAAGCTAAAACCAAGTATATTACGGAAGCTCGTTCTCGAAAAGTCAGGCAAAACCGGGAAAAATCGGTGAATTCTGGCGTGAAACCTTGGACCTTCTTCTTACAGCCCAAATTGACCATATTCCGGAAGACTCCTTCTCGGAATGTCAGAGAAAAACCTGGAAAAATCAGTAAATTCTGGTCAAAATTCTAGATTTTTTTTTTTTTTTTTTTTTTCAGCCGATAATAACTTAAGTCTGGGAGACTTGTTCTCGAAAAGTCTGGGGAAACCGGGAAATATCATTAAATTCTTGTCGTTCAAAACCTTGAAATTTTTTCTTGCAGCCGAAGTTGACCACTTTCCGGAAGATCCTTATTTGGAAAGTCAGAGAAAAACCTGGAAAGGCCAGTAAATTCTGGTCCGAAATCTTGAAACTGTTTTTTATAACCGATAATAATTTTATTCTGGGCGACTTGTTTCTGAAAAGTCAGGGAACTCCTGGAAAAATCAATAAATTCTAGCGTGAAACCCCGAAATTCTTTCGTATAGCTGAAAATGACCTTATCCCGAGAAACTCGTTCCTGAAAAGTCAGGGAAGACCTGGTGTAATCAGTAAATTCTTGTCCGAAACTTGACATTTTTTCTCTCAATAGGCTACATTGCTAATAGTATAACAAGGTGGAGAAATGGTGCCGGGTCCACACCATTTCGCGGGGAGAACAAAGCCAAGGAGTTCCCAACTTACAATTAGAGTCAAAATTAAATTTTTTTAAACTCTAATGCGCACCAGTTCAAAAAAATTTAATTTTGACTCTAATAATAATTTTGGAACTCCTTGGCTTTGTTTTCCCTCCGAAATGGTTTGGACCCAGCACCTCCACCTCCACCTCCACCTTGTTATGTACATTCAGTTCGGGCCAGTTTAAGTGTTTTTTTTGGTTTGTTTTTTTTTTCTTTTTTTTCTGTTTTTTTTTCCTTTCCACTAACAGTATAATCGATACAACCCAGTTCGACTAAACCCTGTACGTAGTGGAT